ATTTGGCATCGACTCCTCAGTACGCTTACCTCGAAGGCAGGACCTTACAGCAAGCGCTGACCAGGGTGCTTTCACACTGCGCCGAAGTACGTGCAGTCATCCAGGGACAGTCCATGAGCACACATACCAAACGTATGGGATGCATGCAAAAGCACATTTCAAAGACGTTCGACAGACTTTCCCGGCATGACCTGGGACAAGCCCTTCTTCAGGCACAGGTGCCTCAAGAACTGGTTGCAGTAATCCTCAGCATCCACGCTCAGGCCAGAGTCCAGGTTCAACATTGCGGACACAGCCAGGGCATATTGCAGGGATCAGGCTTGTCCCCACTCCTATGGTCCTTATACTCTGGGTTTCTACTGAAGGATATGCGTGGTGCAGTGGTAGACGTGGGGAAGAGCAACGCAACATATGCTGATGATTTTCACTTTGCTTGGACCGCCCACAGCATCGCTGACTTTGACAAGGCATACAATGCAGCTCGCCACGTTCTCCAATCCCTGCGCTCCAGAGGCCTTCAAATCAGCACGGATAAGACGGTCATTATCCTGGACATCAGGGGGAAGCAAGCGAAGAAAGCGCTCCGCAGGTACATGGTCAAGACCAGTCAGGGCAAATGCATCCGTTTCCAATTTGGAGACCAATGCCTGGACCTCAAGATTGTTACAAGCCATACATACTTGGGTGCCAAAATTTCCTTCCGTAAGTTTGAAGTTGAGACAGGCCAACACCGAATGCAACTGGCTAAAGGCAGCTACAACCGCCTTCGCAATATTCTTCGATGCCAGGCAGTACCTCTTAAACTTCGGATCCGACTATGGCACAGCTGTATTCTTCCATGTCTCCTGCGTTCACTTGATTGCACAGGAGTGACCGACATCACGGCGGCCAAAATTAGGAGCCTGGTGACTCAGCAATTGCGTCAGATCACCAAGTCTTACAGCATGTTTACCTTGGAGGCCAATGAGGACCTGTTGATCAGGCTCAAGATTGAGGATCCCATTGACACGATTTACAAGGCATTCGTCAGACGCACCACCAAACCCCACGCAGAGTATGATGAGCTGCAGGTTTGGGAATCTCATGGACACTGGCTGAGCACCCTTCGTGGGCGCTTCTATGACAATTCTGAGGCAGCATCTCAGGGTGCTTGCTGCTCGCACCGGCCCTGAGTCAAAGACCTCTAGTAAAGCAAGAATCATGCCAGTCCATTTGGTTGCAGAACAATTTGCCTGTAATGAATGTGGGTTTTGGGGTGCTACACAGGCAGCGCTAAAGGCGCACAACTTTAAGATGCACTATGAAGAGGACGACAAGAAGGCCAGACAACAGGAAATCATTCAGCATAAGAAATCTCAGGCTACAGAGCACGCGAGGAATGGCGTGCCTACCTGTAGACATTGTGGTCATGATTTCGAAACGTGGCCCGCCTTTACATATTCACGGAATTGTCCAGAGATTCGACACGTCTTTTCCCAGCAAGATTGTCAAAGTCAACTTGCAGAGCTCCAAGGAGCCCTAACATTTCAGGATGAAGTGTTGCAGGCGGCCACACATATGACCTGGCAGGAGATGGCGCTGCTTCCAGTGGTCAAAAGGAGCCATAACCGCTGCGTTGAGTGCAATCACTGGTCTGCAAGTCCACTCTACGTAAGACGACATTTGAGGGCCAAGCGCCCTGAGCTCATGCTAATAGTCAATCAGACAATATCCCGCATCATCCAGAGCGACTTTGCTCTCAGTGATCCGTGCCGATTTTGCGGACAAGCCTTCCGCCTACGCCGTGACCACCTCAGATCCTGCATCGGTATCTTCAACGGTCATTACCTTCTCAGAAGACTCGCCCGCAAATCTGATAAAGGTCGGGAGCATGTCATCGGCAGTGAATCGGGAGCTTTCGGAGGCCACCAGCGAGCTGGACATGATCAAATCATTGACTCCAGGTCTGGCCACAACGGCGCCGACAACAGCGGCCCCGGCCTCGGCGCCAATGGACACGTCAGAGAAGAAGGAGGACGGCAAGGCGGATCAACAGTACGACAAAACGACTCGTCCAAGGCAGGACGAGGGAGAGAGGGACGACCAGCAGTGAAAATGGCACCGAGGAGAAAGCAAAGGCAACCAGAGCCGGGGCAAAGGAAGATCTTAGGATTCTTCAAACTGGGACGGCTGGCAAAACTGGGAGAAGGAAGACAACAACTCCAAGCAGGGCATGGCCAAGCTGAAGCAACAGGTCGACATGCTAACAACGTTAGTTCTCAGGCAGGAGCACCAGCTCATGATCAACCGTCAGGACACGAGCTACATCATCTTTATCCGGACGGACATCACTCCGAGTCTGGCAGTAACCACCTACGAGGTCGGCCAGAAGTGGAAGCAGGCCAAGGCCACGAACCCGGATTCCTTGAAACACCCTCTCAGGGTCATCCTGTTCCAGCACCTCCTGACATCGATGACTTCGGCCCTGGAGAACCTTCGCAGACTCGGCAAAGCTGGAAAACGCCAAGAAGCAGGATGGCCACTTTATGGGGATGAAGTGGAACCCGGACAAGAAAGCCCACGAGCAAGACGAAAGCATCCCCTTGATACCGATCCAGGGCGCCATGGAAGTACTCTTCGAGGCAGTGAAGCTATGCGTGGAGCCTTCTGCGGTGAACCGGTGCCACGCCATAAGGCCGCTCTCATCAGAGTACTCGAGTCCCACCGTCACCATGTTCCTGGAAGGGGGATGAGGACGGCAGAGGCAAATCGTCTCTGGAGCATCTTCAACAATTTGTCCCAGACCTCAGTGTGGGTGGCTGTGGGTGCGTATTGCCGCCGCGAACGGCTGCAACGGAGCGCCTTGGCCAATCGGCTGGCGCAGCTCAGCTCTGCAATCGTGGGAATCATTGCTATGCCAACTCAGTGATGAAGTGCAGTATGTGGCTATGTGCAGACATGACAGAATTTCAGGCCATGATCGGAAATTCGATTTTCAGCGACATCAGGCAAGTTTTTCAGGGACAATCGCTTTCTCTGTGGCAGCTCCAATCATGGCAGGAAGCAACAAGAGAGTGGGCGATGCCTCACTCACAACATGATGTGGGAGACTTCCTCAGATTTCTTGCGGAACATTGCCCTGGACTCAGATGTGCGCTGGAGATGACTTGGGAAGCCAGGTCTTTTCGTGGAGATGAGCTACCGACCATCCACATTGCAGATGTTTCTACCTCAGTTATACTGTACCTGAATATTCACTTGCCCAACTTCGTAAATGGACACGAAACATTGACAGTTCAACAGCTGTTGCACGGGTGGGAGAACCAGGCCCACGTGCACGCGCTGACTGATGCACCGCTGACGCTTGCAGTTTTGGCAGGGCGTTTTCAGATGGTACATGGCCAGATCAATAAGTTTCATGGCACAATCATTCCCAATGAAAATTTGGAAGTTCCTGTTTACACTGAAGCTGAGTTCACTACAAAGCGCTATGTGCTGAATTCATTCATTGCTCACGAGGGGGGCACGTCTTCCTCAGGCCATTACTATGCAGTCCTGAGATATGATGGAGCCTACTACAGAGCAGATGGCAACTCCTCAGCCAAGCTCATGAACAGTGTACAGTTCAGGCAGAGTTGTAGACAGCGCTACTTGTTTTTCTACCAAAGTAGTTAAGATGGTGTAGCATTCGGATAATGGCCCTGGCCACTTGCTTTAGGGTCTTTGGACCGGAGTGGCCTGTTTAAGAGCTGGGATGCCGAAGAGCAGCTGCGTGCCGGGCAACACGCCTGTCCCTACTTAGCGCTGGCAAAGACCTCTCGAACTTTGCAGCGAGGAAAGTGAAAGGGAAGTGTTTCAGTAGTTCCATACAGACTTTATATTCGTTTTCAAAATCACTCATATATGGTAACATATATTATTTTCAATCGCTATCGTTTTTCGTCTTCTTCTTCAGCTTAGTTATTTCACCTTTCAATCAAGTTATTTTTTTGCATTTCTTGCACAGCACCCCACAAGACAACGGTCATTTTGTTGTATGCTAACAATTTCATACCATTATCGTTATGAAAGATTATGTTGTCCCATTCAGGGGACAGTTTAGCATTCTTCACATCGTCGGCTATAAATCCTAGATTACTCTTGTTATCTTCATCCTTAATCAAAATATATGTTTTTGCTTTGACATACTTAACAACACTGTAACACTCTTTAGTGTTCGCTTCGGAAGTGCACGTTAGTGTTCCGTTAATATCAGCGTTGCCTGTTGTTGTTAATCTACCATATACATCAACTCCTGTTGTTGTAGCATCCAACCTTGATAATCCGCTATTGCTTAATCTGATCCATCCGTTGTCATCAGGCTTATTGATTGTTACTTTTTGTGCTCATGAGTCGTCTATGTGGGCTATTTCAAGATTACCTAGTAAATTTACCTTTCCGTCTGTTAACTGAATTTCTGACGTTTATGATTCTAAACCCATCATTAAATTCATTCTTGGTCGGCGTTTCTGATATACATCTTATACTGTGTGTCTAACAGTTCTCTAATTTCACGGCTATTCTGCAATTTAAACTTACCCCAACTAATGACATCCGCCTCGCCAACGATATTACCAGTGCTATTAACTGTCAGATTATTTGTAACAGCTCTATTTAATGTAATGCCGTTAGTGTCATTTAACTGAAGTGCCACAATCCCAGTAGTTGGGACGGTTGTTCTACTTGCCTGTAGTGGAAAGTTAATGTCCTCTGTTGATATTACATTTAATGACTCATTAACGTCTGCTCTCTGGAAATACGGGCGTCCGTATTTACAAATTGTTCCCCTGTTACTTTCTGTAACTCTAAGTAATTTTCAATTCGGCAAGGTTTCCTCTAACTGGATGTGGGGTATGTGATTTTGAATGGTGGCTTTGTTGTAAGCTTTGGACGAGTATCCTTAGCGTTGCTGCCTACAGTGCCCCACAAAGTGCCCCAAGCACCTAAAGCCCGGAATCCTACCCAAAGAAGAACCAAAGCAGGATGTCAGCTTCGAGCTGCCTGGCTCCGGGCTCAAAGGGCGGAGCCTAATTCTGGCTCCGTGCTCCGGCCATTTCGAGCCGGGAACGTGACACCCTGAGCAGGGAGTCAGGTTGGAGGGCTCCAAGGTGGGAAAAGCTTAGGGAGTGGGTCTAGAGTCTAGTTGCTAGGGGTTGGGGCTCAGGCCACCAGGCTTAAGTGCAGTCAACGCTGCTTTCAGGCCTACGGCAGCTACTTTTTGCTATCCTGTTTTTTTGCTGTTGCTTGTACGTAATTGTCGTGGTTGCAGGCGCAACATTTGATCCATGTGCATGCCAGTTAAAGATTCTGGCTGCCGAGAAATCACTTCATGGCATGAGCCGTTGCTTTTCTCGACGACGCTTCTGACAAACCAATATCAGGGGTGAATCAGATTTCTCCTCTTTGTTTCGAGTCTGTAGTGCCCCAATTTACTCACCTCCCCTAATGATCAATCCCCCCAGCCCCTGCTAATCACCACAAAGTTTTGCAGTATAATACCCATATGAGTATACTATTAAGCAGGGGGTGATTAGGGCTGGCGGGTTTGGTTAAAAAACGCCATTGCTCGGGATGCTACGTAAAGTCTCAAGCCTATAAAAGGGGAGACATTGGAGTGATTCGTGGGCTTGCGCGCAATTCCTAAAATTGAAACCAAATAGTTCGATGTTGGGTGCGTCAAGCTACAGCTCCAAGGAGGTTCCTTTGTTCAGAGTATTGCAGCCCTTACCGAGAAAATCGCAACAATCCTCCAGTATTAGATGCTCATGATGGTTGCAACATGTCCTCTCTGGTTTCCCGATAAAGCAGCAATTGCAAATTGTACGTTCTGACCTGCTCAGGTTCTAAAAGAGACGTTGTGGTTGTAAATTGAATTCATCTCGGGGGGTGCTCCCAACATTAAAGCAAGTCCCAGATGATTTGCTTACAGCCACACATCAGCAGCTTCCCTAGCTGGGTTCAGTTGGCTGTTGGGTGACGAGTACCTCTAGGCTTCGCTGCAAAGCGCTGACTCTTGCAGCCCTCGCCCACCCACGCGCTCAAGGACGTGAAGGTAACATGGGTGGCCAAGACGATTTTACCAACAGTATTGTTTAGCGGGGTTAGCCCAGCAAATCCTTTTGACTTAGCTTGCAACTGAGGCTGGTGGCACTGATGGGTCTGCACCTAAGCGTTTCCAGACCGTGGTTTTGATCCTTTCTTGCTCTGGCTCCCTTGTGCGCAAGTCTTCAGCTGAATCAAACAAAATCGGCGAACAAAAGCCATGTATGTCCAGGCCAGGCTTTGCAATCCGTCATCGTTTGTGGCATGGAAGCGCTTGCATTTCGCAATGCTCTTGCTTAAATTTGCACACTCCATGTCCCAACCATCGAAGGTTCAATGTTGCCCTCACCACCGCTGCCCAAAGACTTCCCCCCAAGACGGTAGTGGACCATTCGGGATTGAGCGAAGGCTGAGACTCCAGCAATGTTTCAATGACAGGTATGAGCTTATGACAAAGTTCATGCCAATTGGCCATTTCAACCAAAATCTCAACTTGCGTCCTTTTCATCTTTAGCTGCTCGAGCCTATGCCGAACCTGAGAGGGAAAATTCCAACTCCCCTCGCTGTTTAAGGCCCCTCTGGGTGTGGGAAGACCACGTTGCTGGACATCTTGGCAGCCAAGAAGACCTCGCCCTACTCGGGGTCTGTTGCGGCCTTGGCAGGGCAAAAGGATCTTTGCTTTTCAAACATTTGTTGGGTTTGAAGTTTTTTTTATTATTAATTTTTGGCGTGTGAGGCTTTGAGGACTGTGCAGATTGCAGTGACGCATTTTCCAAGGCACGTTTTTGGAAGGTTAAGTTGCAAAGATTCGGGTCCCTACATCCCTCCTCCACAGAGACAGGGTCCTCAACATTCTGATCCACAACATGAAAAATGATTAGGCACAGGGCCAATTGAAATCAGTGCTACCAGCTGTTCGTTGGTACGAGGCGAAGCGATGCCAATGGCATATGCCTCTTGTCGGAAGAGTCTCGATTTGGCAGACAATCATTGCAAGGCTCTGACTGAAGAAGGAGGAGGAGGAGTGGCTTTCAAAAAACGAAACTGTACGGGACGCAGCTGCACCCTCCAAAACTCTAAGTTCTAGTAGGCTAGTGTGAGTTTCAACTGAGAGCACGACGTTGTGTGGCAAAAGTTGGTGAATTGAACGCATCGAGTATGCCGTGTTCTGAGCGGATGTATGCGGTGTAAGTCTGACAGCCCAAAGGCTTCCGCTCCCCTGGCTCATGCTTGCGCTAGGAAAGGTGCGCAGGGGTGCTAAAAAAGAAGGTTAGAGCTTGGCCTCATCATCTTAAGCCTCATCTGCCGAAAGCCCTAGACTCTTGACAGTAAAGCTCCGCTGCATGATTGTTAGGTTCATCTCAATGGTCGAGAGCGAGACAACCTATTCCCGCGGATCACCAGCTATGTGCCGCAGGACATCGATTGCAGCGTGTTTAAATTCAGGTTGGGGTCCGGAGGTTGAGTGTTTGGGGTGTAGGGAAAGCAGGTGGGCTACGAAAGATGAGATGGGGGAATTGTAAAGCTCCAAACTCCTTGATCGACACGCGGCAAGCTCAGGCATGCGGAATTCGGGCCGAGGGAGTCGGGTTCAGGGTTCTTGGTAAGAACCATCCAATGCTTCAGACCAGACATGCGGCAGAGGAGGGCGAGCAATACAGGAGGACCTGCGACAAAGCAACTGGTAAACGAATGCGCAATTCTGCAGGGGACCTTCTCTTTGACGCATCCCAGCTAGATTTCAAAATGTGTGTCGGGGACAAGCTAGACACACCTTATGACACTTACCTTACAGATTGCCTGTAGTCTGCCCTAGCTTTTGATTTTAACTTTGAAAGCTACTCCCGTGTCTCTGCCCAACACAGGATGACATCATGTTTCCCACGGTGACAGCCGATGCCTTGATGACAGTGAAAGTGAGCAGGTTTGGAGAGGTTTATGGGCATATGCAGGAGTTTGTGAGGACAACTTTCCAGAGCCCTGAAAAAAGCACTCCCATCATTGAGTTCTTGTATTCTGCAACAGATCTTTCTGATGAAAGGAGAGGTCTACAGCTACCTTGCTCCGAGCATGGGGGACTGAAACCGGGCATCACCATCGGGGGGTTTTAGGCGTTTAAGGGCGGTTAGCGGTATGCATGTGTAGTTTGGAATCCTGTGCTCTTGCAACAAATGCTGGGACTGTCAAGAAGGGGATTCTGCATTTGCCCTGCTTTCATGCACATCTATCTGTCATCCAAGCCACAGACCGCTGGAAGCCCAGCTGCCAAGTTCCTTTGAAAGGGAACTTCTAAGATTCTAGCCACCAAAATTGGAGATTAAGAAATATCATAACATGATAAATGACATGGAAACAGGATGAAACAGGGTGCTAGGATGTGAAAGCTGTCAAAGCGTGTCTGAGGTGAAGGAGCAGGTCTTGTTCCACACGGTCCTGAAGACCGAGGCCAACGGCAAAGCGGCAAAGACTTCAGCAGCGAACGCTCTCGGGGTAGCATTTCCCATAATCTACTTACTAATACCACAATGTTCTATAATCTACTATTTTTGAGGCTTTCAGGGGTTCTCTCCTCAAGGGTTCAAGGCCTCTGAGTTTCACTTAAAGTAATGGAGCGCTTGTATTTGATGCAAAGGAGCTGCAGCTCTTGTTGCATAGCGGTAGTGGAACAAAAGATAACAAGAATGTCAAATATGAGTCAAAGAGAAGCCGTAGCATGTTCCATGACAGGGCAAGACTTCTCCAAGGCTCAGGGAAATTAGCAATCAGTTTATGCTGTTTACATTGGGGTGAAAAGCAGGGCCATCGGTGGGCGGGAGGGAACACAAAATAGGATTGCTTCAACAAGATTGCTAACATGCGCAAGCCTCCGCCTGGGAAAGCCGATCACCTTACCTCGAGGTGCCACGCGGCGTCACTAGGGAGATGATTGACAACGCCACGAGGCCTGTTGCTGAGGTAAGGAGTGTGGGGTTGACTGCTTGGGGTGCATGCTTTAGGGAGTACGTTTTTTTGTGTTTAGAGTTCCAGAGCCATGGCAGCAATCTGCCAACTCCACCCAAACCATGATGGCCTGGGCTTACGACAAGAAATCGGCCTTTCTGGTCGGTCTGCGTCATTTCTTTTCCTGCTTTCAGTTTCTGAAAAGACTGGTTTGACTGTTTTGCAACTTCATCCATGTCAGACCATGGTAATGACCACCTGTTTAGACCCATATCAGTTTGTTCTCAGGCTTAGGCTCCTAATGTTTAATTTGTTTTGTGGGACCTTTCAGAACCACAATCCAAATCCTGAATGTCAAAAACAGTTGAGACTTGAGATGTCTTAGTTGAGAGTACTTCTTATGATAATCCTATGCCGTACATCATGCCCGGCCCGTAACGTTTTGACTGGAAGACTGCACAGGCAGGGGTTCTACAGCACCTGAAAATGGTACCTTGAACCCCAGAGGCTTAGAGTTAGTAGAACCCTCGCTTATTCGGGTTGATCACCCTGCCATAAAGAATCCGTTCCTGTCTAAGAAAAACATTGATGTAAAGCCATGATCTCAAATTCCTCCTTTGGCAAGTGAGATGCTTCCCACCCCATCTCCCAATACGTTCCTGGAGTAGAAGATGCCTCTCTCTCCCTCTTTCTGTATGAGGAGGTGCGCGTGGTCATGCAGCATAATAGGTTGTACAGGAGACGAGTGGAATTTTGTAATGGACAGAGCATCGTGAAGGGGACTGTCATCCGGAATCCTGGAAGTAGGATGACGAGGGCCCATCCCTGAACGAAAGCACACGGCCGTTTTCAACTCGCCACTTGAGCCACCGACGGTCGAGCATCGAAGCAATGTTCACCTATACGCAAGATCTCAGACAACTCCTCCTTGACAGGGTACGACAGCAAGCGCCTCGAAGCTGCGCAACAGTAGCGCGGGTGGACTATTCCTTTGTCCACGACTAATAGAAAATGGCGATAGGATGATTGGAATCCTCAGGAGAAAGAGCACCATTCGCGTAGGGCAAGAAGGTCGCAAGCACTCTTGATGCCTGTAGCTGGATGACTTGGTCAAAACATCACATCTTCTCATGTTTTTGTGCTGGGTTGCTTGACCTCAATTCCTAGCAAGGTGTCCAGGGCTAGCCAGTCTGGTTTCCTGCGCTAAGTTCAGCTTCGCACTAAGTTCAGCTTTTGTGGAGTAAGTTACGACGCGCGCGTCCAGCCTGTCTCCTCTCGACTTGCTCCCGCCATTGGTATAGCCAGCATCCAGATGAAAATGTTTTCGCCCTCCACTCATCGGCTTTTTCTATTGCAGCTTTGACTGCTCAGCGGAGCGAGCACCACAGGCTCTCAGTCAGCATAAGGTTTCGCCAGGTTTGCTAACCAGCATACAACCTGCAGAGCCAATTGTTGACGTGCTTTCGGTTAAAACATGTTGCGGATGGCTTGGCGTGGCGGCACATGCCAAAGGCGCGTTGATTCCTTGGGCACCCGCCTCAGACAGTCTCGCTGTCTCCAATGACAAAACCATGATCAACATAGGCTGTTCTCATCTCAAGAAGCTGGCTTGTGCTTTCTATGCACCTCCAACCTCCGGCGCAAACGTCCAATGGCTGGAAGATGATGTTCCCGCCTGCGACTTCAGCTCAGAATTTGCCAAATCACCATTGCTCTCCCAGTCCACTGCCACCCGTGTTGGCCCAAAGGCGGCATGTGCAGTACCCCGAGGATCCTTGTGAACCAGCCCGTGGGAATTAACAGAGGGATTAGTCAAATAGAGACTGGCTTGTCCAAGAAAGCTCAGCAGACGTCGAACATCATCAAGGCGTTCCATGTAGCATGCTTTGCCAACATTTATGTGTACTCCTCTCGTGCGTATCTGACCATGCTTGGCCAAGCATGCAGACTTGCTTGCTTGTATCCACGACCCTTCGCCTGAGTTGAGTTCTTCGACCATTCTGTTTGGCTACTTCACTTTGACAAGTTTAGGTTGAGATGGAATTATCTCCCGGAAGAAATCTTGCTCCTCCAAACCGAGACCTGCAGGATGGTGTCCCATGTCCTTTTTCCCGGATACAGCGCTAGCTATGTTGAGAGGCTCTTCGTTGGCATCTCATCTTGTATCCTGCTCTTGCGAAGACATCTTTGCCATGGTCTGGCCAGAGGCTTGATCCAAAAAAAGTGAGAAATGATTTCCTCTCACCTTGCAGCATGTTCTCCTCATTCTTAAAAGTGGATAATTATTCGGTGCCGCCTGAATGAGCTACAGGTCTGCGACACAAAGGAAAGACGTTGTAGACTTTGGCTGTCTTGGGGGTGTACAAGTATGTCCAGCAAAGCCTTCGACATGCTTGAGTCTAAGCGCTGAACCCCAACTGACCCCAAGAGATGTGCCCCTAACCGCCGAAGGTTACGACTCAAAGCGGTGGGCCTCGAGGAGGCATTGTGCATGCAGAAGCTTTAAGGAGGTGACTTTGGGGCTGCGTTTTTGAAGGGCATTTGGGCCAGGACATTTTGATGACTTGCAGCCTGCCCTTGGACATGATTTTCGGAGTGAGTTGCTATCAGGGTACTTTTAAAAGCTCCACAATCAGGAAATTGCCACACACCCAAACAATACCCATAACCTTGAACTGTAGACTATGCGCAGTCAGGGACAAACAGACAGATTCCAGTTACACATAGTTTCCGAAGAGTGGCAGTCTATTTTGGCTCGGACCTGTTGCACCCAAAAAGTCACGAATCATCACCACCATGCTTACCATATCTCACCATTATGTTGCTTTGTTGTAGCCCCATGGACTTCTGGAGATCGTTACAGATCCGTTACAGCCGTCGTACGCTTGTTACCTTCCTTGTTCCAATCCGTTATTTGCGCTTCTCCTTTTTTTTTTGGATTTTCGGAGACAATTCGTCTAACAGGAGAATCCCGCACTTGGAGAATTTTAACAGCCTTCACATTTGCGAGTCGAAGAGGTGCAGGACTACTTGATCGGAAGCGACGTGGTGAGGGGCATTTCTGGCGGCCAGAGGCCTTCGTGCGTGTGATGCAAGCGTTGATTGATGACTGACCAAGTAGAAGCAGTATTTTGCAGCCCGTACAAGGTTTCCATGTACGCCGAGTATTAGCTTCATCTCCAAACCCTGGACTTCCCAAACCCAAATGCAGTTTCCTGTTCAGATTGACCCGAAGCCATTGTCTGTGGCAGTCGTCTTTGCCATTGAATCTCCAGGCGGCGAGTGTCGTTGGCTTGCGGTCTAGCGACTGGCGCCGGACGCTTAAGTCGACTGTTGATTCTCGCTGCCATTCGGAAATCGATAACAAAAAAGCTGGTGGCATACCTCTCGAGCAGCACAGCCACCCCTGGAGGTCTGACTAGCCTTAATAGTAGGAGCTTTTGCGTTCTGGAAGTTTGGCAGTCAGTAACGCTTGTTCGGATCTTTCGTCCGCATGCGTGAGCAGACTTCTTATCCCGCTGTAGCCTCCCTGTGATCATGTTGATGAAAGATGTGTGAGGGGGGAGCGGACTCATTCTATGCAGGCGCAGATTTTCTTTTGTGACGAGCCCACTTCGGGCGCAACTGGCCTGTTTCTACCAGATGCACATGATTTGGATCTCCAAGCCGCCGTGTAGCAATGTTCTTTTGCCATCAAACTTCATGTAATCCCTTCAGAATCCGCAGATGATTCCAGTGCAATCGCTCATGGTGTGATCCGTCTGTTTGACTGGACAGGTTTGAGCGCCACCGATGCTGAGCAGTGTGTGAGGTGGGGCATGTGACAGATTTTCAATGTCATAGAGACGCATGCGATCCTGATTGTTATGTTGCTGAGATGGCGGTGTTGCTGACTCTGGTAACTAGTGAGAAAAGTAGTACGAATAACAAGCGTGACAAGGGTGCTGATGGTCGGTATGGGCCTTGTGGGCATGAGCTTGGGAGGTATATGCGTGTGCTGTGCAAGAAGTACGGCGTGAGCATCATCGTGGCGATACACCAGCCCAGACAAGAGGCTTGGAAGCCGCAAGCCCAAAACCTTGCTGACCGCAGTGAAGCCATGCCCTACACCAGCTGCCAGAGTAGGACATTTTTCAGGGAGGCGGATCTCAGCTGGTCTCGGATCACCACCTCAAGCTAGTAAGCTCTCTCTCACGGCAGGCCTCCAGGCCCCATCCACTCCTGCCCTCGCGTGGTATATATGCTTGGATGCAGTCAATCAAGTCGTTTGACTTGGTGTTTCCAAGAGCGTACACTGTTCGGCAAAGCCTCGCCCCAGTTCAGCCACGCACCCCATAACTGGTAACTACTTGCAGTAAAGTTGATCATGAACTTGACAGCAAAAAATGAGCAAGTGGCGGTTCTGTCTCATCGGCAACAGTCGACAACCTGAAGCCCTGAGCCTTATTAAGTCCCTGAAGTTGCAAAATCTTCAGGTGGCAGTTCTCTTCGATCACCTGCTTTTGCTGACGAACCCAGGGGATGTGGTCTACAATGGACCAATGAGGGAGGTGGGACCCAACCCAGTCAACTTCAGCAAGGAAATCCAAACTTTGAGGTATCGAATCTAGATTTGGAGGTAGTGGGATACCCAACAGAATGCAAACAAAAGACCACAGGACAAGCTGAAGATAAGTTTTTTTGAAAGCAGCCATTGCGCAGGACCCTTCAACAGAATACCCAGCCTTCTGCATGTTTGCTTAGGATGTGTAGGGTTTAGGAAGTGGGTGAGCTGGGTTCAGCGTTAGGGTTGAGAGTGTGCCTTCCTCACGATGTTTGTAGGAAGGTGTTCTGGTTGCAAGGAGGATGATTTTCCGTATCAGCATTGCAGACATGAATCCTGTTAATGGCTGCCGGCACATCCTTTCCATGACTCAATTTGCTGAGGTTTCTTGTTTTAGCGCCACACTTGTAGCATGTAGCTGTGGAAGCATGCCGTCTATGCAGCTGCTACGAATCTTGTAGTCTCTAGACTTTTTAGTTGAATTCCACAAAGGGTGAATGGTGGTATTCAGGGTGCTTCGTTTGGTTTTCCCGCACCCCTTGTGTTTTTGTTGTTTTGTCGTGGGCGCATATCTCTCGTTATGGTACTTCTTGCCTTCTTCTCTTTGTAGCCATGGCTGCCACTATGGCTACTGTGACAGGAATGTAAACGCAGACAATATCAGCTTGCAGCTGCACATCCAAGACTGGAATGGCGAAAGCCAGGCGAAGCGGTATTGGAGCGATGCTGGCTTTCCCGCAAGGGCCATAAACATCACACCGCAGGATAAACGGGGATTGTCAGGGATTCTTGCGGAGATTGTTGGTAATTTGTATAGGTGATTCGTTTGATCACAGCGAATTCGTGGATAGAGGCGCATAGGGTGTACGTTGAGATTACGCGGACGTTGAAAGATGTGTGAGGAGTGAGGGCTCATGTTGAAGCTCTTCTTGCGTGAGCCTACTGTGAAATTGTCCGCTAGAATTAGAAGCCAGAGTTTTGATCTTCGAAAGCGCTTATATTGAACCCATGTATTCCGCATGCGGATTCACATGACGGCTGCTCACAACTTGAAAGACAACGGAAACAGCAATAGCAATGACGAGAACGACTGAGATCAGGAGCAGTCTCCCCTTGCTTACTAATCAGGATATGAAGAATCCCAACATACTCCTGATGACGAAGCGCCGTCCCAATCCATCAAAGCTCAGGTTCCCGAGCTGATCTCCCCAACGGAGCGTCCTTTCTCTCTTGGAAGGTTGTTGGAGGTTTCAGTTTCAGGATGTACTGTCAAAGCTTCAGGGCATTGGGCTCAGGATTTATGATTTTATGGTTTCAGGTTTTGGGCAAGACGCAGAAATTTTACTTGACCTGGGGCTCTTACCATTATGTACCATCATCCCATTTCAGTATCTTGGGGAGTGGTGTGGTTGGCGGGCTTGTTTCGGCCTTGGTGATCTGCAGACTTGCTCTTGTTTATGGCTACTCGATGGTTGTTCTGGGTGCTTAGAAGTATTTTTGGTGCCAGTTTAACTTTGGCATTTCTATCCGTTTCCCTGCATGCGTCATGCTCCTTCGTGTCATGGCACCTGCCCGAAGCCTTCAACTGATCCGCCACCTACTACACCATCAACTCCATGAACAGTTCAACCCCAGACTCCAAACATCAAACCCCGAACCTCACCTACCCAGTAAAAGATGCAAACCTAAGCTTCCCGGAAGCCTCCAGGATTATTTTCTGGACCTGGTCACCCCGGGAACTCTGGATTCGCAGGCGCATGGGGCAGTGGTATTTTGAGCTTGTTATTCTGGCAGTTCTTAGTGAAGTGATGTCCAGACCACGCGGAAAAGAGCTAAAAAGGCACATCAGCTGTGCCGTGGTAGCACGGGATGTAGCATTGAGGGATCAACGTGCCGTGAACAACCCCATGAACCTCTTGCAAGCATCGCATCCTTTGACCACGCGAGCCCAAATCCGCCAGTGGGTCATATTCAGGTCAGTCACTTCTTGGAATTCTATCGGGTGCATGGCAAAGCCACAGTTGACAAGCTGGCGGCAGCCTTGGAAGCTTAGATTCTTGTCTCTGTTGTTTTTTGATGATAAGGCACCTTCTCTAACTTCTGCTAGTTTCTACAGATGGGTGTAGTGTTTAATCATGGTTCCAATGTGTGTGATGCTTCCGAACAGTCCTCTTGTCTTGAATGGAGTGAGTGGTCAGCTTTGGTTCTCATATTTCCATGCCCACTCCTTTCATTACAATTTGACAATGAAGTTTATGCTTGTGTACGTCTGGCAGCCACAGGTGGACGAGCAGCTGCACAATCAGAGGATGACTGCCTTGCAGCTGCTGGAGGCTGCAGCTATGCCATGGCATGATGTGCATGCTGAGAGTTTGGCATTTGCGGGTTGTAGCTAAGGGCGTTTGGGGGCTAGAGGGTGTTGAATTGGGTGTTGGGGATGGGAGTTGGGTCTTCAGGGTGCGTGTTTTGCTGGGTTGTTGTTGAGGGCGCGATGGTTGTTTGAACTTGTGGGCATGATAGATTTCTCGAAACTGACTCCAGGGAAGGCAGTTATCCGATACTCACAGGAGCATCTTCAATTTCACGTCTCGTTGCCCGTTGTAGACCTTAAACGCTAAGTTCATCTCCTGTCCAAGGAGAGAAGAGCCCGCTTGCACCGCCGGCGCAAGTTGCTTCAGCCTTCCTCTGACATCGCTTGGTCCTTTGATTATATAGTCTGACCTAGGCATTAAGGATGAAGGGCTTGCGGGCCCAAGAACAGATACTGTATATTAATAATTTGATGTGCTACCCTGTAGGACCCCTGGGTACCAGCTTTGGCAGAGGGCAAGGGTAGCATGATATGCAAGCAATGTTTGTTTGTGAAGTGCCAGCTTCAAGTTCCAGCTAGTGTGGAAGGTTCCGTATCTAGCAACATGTTTCCGTCACAATCTAGACAAAACCATTGTAGCCTGCGCAACCTATAAACCTAAGTTCAATCTTTCAATAGTGCTGTCACGATTTTGCTGCTGAACGGAGCTCTTAACACAAGTGAGGGATGCAACTGATTCAAAAGTTGAATTCCCCATTGGCTGTGCTGAGAGGAAGATCAATGGCTGATTTTTGTGAAGATTTAGCTAGCAGCTGGAAGTGGGTCAGTCCACAGTACGATACAAGTCAGACGAACATCAAGCTGTCAGATGCTGTGCGCTGCAACCTACATGTTTCAGAAACTGCCTGTCCAAGCTACGCCGATAACAGTGTAGATGATGGGTGAGGATTAGCTTGGCCCTTGTAAAAATAATACTCTAATAGCAATCACCATGCCAATTTCAATCCATATTCGTAAGAGAAATGCCATGTTGCAGGTTGTGAGGATACTTGCAACGCTGAGAGTGCTGCTGCCCTCTTCAGTTCTGCTGCTCGAAGAAGTGAATTTACGACCAAAGGAGCTCTTCTAGCAGCAGTATCGAGGTACGAACAAGAGACTCGCGCGGAAGCGCTGTAACATGTACTACACGCAATGGCAATGTCGTTCGCAATTGGAGTTGTAGCACTTAGTGGAGGATACCTTGAAGGGCCTGCGGGAGAAAACTTTCAAAATGGAGACCTGCAAGCCTGAGCCTCTGTCCTCTTGCATCCTGAGCCGTGAAACGGCCAGGTTGACGGTTGGCGACATGCCGCCGGTGCGGAACAGCATCTACGGTGTCAGGCCTTGGGCTGCCTGCGCTCCATGTAAACACTTTTGGGGGAGCTCTTGAATTGCCAGCAACCCAGATAATTAATCACATGCAGTGCGTGTAAGTCATGGCTGACGGTATGACCAAGTGACGTAGTCACCAGTGTAGATGCACATCACGGACGCTCCCACCGATGGTGACGTTCTTTTGCATGGACTGGTACGTATCCCTTTGCTGGACTGGTACACAAGGACGACCCCAACTACGTCAAATCAAGCCGATGACCGCTTCCTGTGAAACAGCAGGGGGCCTTTTGGAGGTTCCGGAAGCAGCTGCAGAAGGTCTTTTGCAGGCAAGTGCGCCTTCTTCTTCGGGACCAGCCTCGCACTCAATATAGTATGAGGAATTGACGCGAGGCACCTGCAAGCAATATCAAAGCATCAATCAGGCCAAACGTGAGAATCAGCAGATCTGAGCTTTGCATCCTGAGAATTCTGAGGCAGGGCGTCCTGACCGAGATTTTGGTTGCAATAGCACAGGCTCTGGTCGTAGGCGCGCCTGGGCGGGCAGGGACTGCAGGACAGAACCAACAGGAGTTGCCAGTCCCGAGACATGTTGCATGTGGGTGCGGAAGTGTCTCATCTTTAACCAGGCTTTTGAGGCTGACTGCCCCAAGTCGCTCATTGAAGCCTCAGTTTGCCCAGGGGCCGCGTATATCGGCATTGGAAAAGGACAAGACGCTGGATACCACCAGGCCTGTTCCCACTATGGGGAAGGTTGCATTAGGCATTGCGCATGCGTGTATGTATACATGGGTCATATGCGGAACAGAGCAGCTTGTCCCCTTCATGCTCACTCATTTGGTAATATTGATGGCAGAGACTGTGATGCTTGCTGCTGAACGCCGGCACTAGCACAGCTCCAAGAGGAAGTAGAACACTAGTAGGCTTTGCGCTTTTGCAAGGTCGGGTTCTATTTCATGCTGGTGATGACGTGCGCCCTTTCCGGCATCAAGGCTGGATTGCACATGGGGGATGAAGGAAGGAAAGGGTTTAGACGGTCTGGGGTCCATGGAGCCATTTAGCGCCTCTCACATCCTGATTGGATAGGTCAATAGCATTCCAGAAACCATTCTTGAAGAATTCCTTGTGCACCCAATTCGCGTACACTTCATCATGTTCTTGTATGTACTTGGATCCCACAGCTGCATCACCGGACACAGTTGCTACGCCGCTCTGACTCTTTTGCATCTGATGGATGTTTGGTAGAGGGTGCACTTACGGCCCGCCTCTATGTAATCGTTCCCCCACTGAAGGCAGGAACCCCTAAACCCCAAACCTTGTCGAGTACTGAATTTGGGCGTCGTGAGGTCATGCCGAAGGCGATCGCGGAACGAACAGTGATGAAGTTGGAAGTTTCAGAGGTCCTGTACAGTGTCTCCCAGCTGAGATTTTGGAGTTTCTGAACTTGGGGACTTTGATTGGGAGCCTTGGGGTGTCAGGGCCTCCAATTCTTTTGGATCTGTGCTTAAACAAGGGAACCTTGTTGAGATTGCCCTTCTAGCGCAGATGGTGTTTAGGCTCTCACCTGTTAGCGTAGGTGGTTGATATCGATTTTGCAGCGGTCTGCCGCAGGCGGCAGGTTCTGCTGTTGCTCGTAGGAATATTGGCAGAGGAAGTACTGGCAGCAGTACTGGCAGCAGCAGAGGCAGAAGCGGTGGCCGCAGCAGCAAGCAGAATTCCCTGAACGATGGGTAGGCCATGATCTTCTTGACAGGTTTCCAGGCAATTGAGTAGCCACGAGTGTGCGTCCCCCAGAATGGAGAAATATTATGTTAAGGCCTCACTTGATTCATGAGCTGACTGCATGTTAAGAAACATAGAAACCCCCAGCCCTCACCCCCAACAAGTGAAGGGCTCAACTGAGGACTGGGCATACATTATTGCCTTCACCAGCCTCAACCTCCTCTTATCTCTTCTTTGCAATGCCATTTTTGTCACCTTGGTCTTCCTCTTGCCTGGAGCTCAGCGCAAAGATTGCCGTAATAGTAGCAGCCACCAGAATCTTAGCTTCGCAATGAATACCGAGTTTTGGCAACCGTGCGATTGATGATGATAGTTCTAATGCCCATATTGTTTGGTTGACGCTGGTCATGATGAGTATGCAAGGCCTACACAGCAGTCATGTGTCAATCCCAACAGCTTCTGTTCTGAAGAGTGGGTCCCTGCCCCTTATCGCGACAGAGTTATCCGGAGGAGCACCCAAAACAGGTGGGAGTGTCTGCGGCCGGTACAAATTTGAAGAGTTGTGCAGCCCGAGTATGTCCCTTCTGGACCATTCAGCATTTGCGCCCAGGAGCGAGCTTGAGTGGACAGTATACCCAATTGCAGCCCAGCCGCATTGCAAGCTCATGGTTGCTTCCCTCTCTCAGACCAGACCACTGTGTGGTTCGCAGTGGGGGTGCACTTCGAAGTTCTTGGGGGGTCAGAAAAAGGAGTTGTGGAAGATGGGAATCTACGGACCTCTTGTGTACCCTAGACTCGGAATTGGATAGTCAAGAGTGAGCTGAGGTTTTGCTGTGGAACAGCATCATTTACATAGCCATGGACCGGGCCTCATTGAGATGCTGCTGCCACTTTCTCAACACGCTTGCATAACATCTTTGAAACATTTCTATGTGGAGATGTACTACACGTGTACATCTTTCGTATTTCAGTCTAGTGCGGCTGCCAAGCAAACAAGCAATCCGGCACAGGACAGCGTTTACCTCATGGTGGCTGCAGCGGCCAAAGACTCTAGCATGGCACAGATCTTGCTGGCGCCCATATTGACGTGCGGACCCCCAGCAGGTTTCCAGCCTCGGAGTCTCTGAATCTGATGGGTCCTTTAATTCCTTGTCTTGGGGCGTGTACGCGATGTACGCATGCGCCCGCTTTCGGCATCTGCCTCATTGCTATTGTTCTAATCCGTGTCATCATAGTTGTCGTGAAGATGAACCATGCTGCGACCATTGCCATGTCAAGCATTTCAATCGCTCTTCCTGCTGCTTTTTTATTCTTGCCGTGTGCGTAACATGTAGGTGTTTTTCTGAAGATGCAAGCGTAAAGACCGAGGGCTTGCTCAGATATGTAGTTCGCAGCACCAGGATAGGCAGCAGCATCGGCAGTAGAAGGAGGGAAGAGCCGAAGCAAAAGGTGGCCCAAGCATGGCAATCATGGACTTGTAGCCAGAAACATAATCCTTGCATTGCTGTGTCGGCAGTGCCCCAAGGGCCACCATACAGCCTTCATTTTCTTGGCCTTTGGGGTGTCTAGTGTCAGGGGCTGTAGGGACACTGTGGGGCCCTGAACATCCCTGAGCCCAAACCTGAAATTCCAAGCCTGATCGTTTAGGATGGCCATGCTCTTCAATGGCTTTACGGTCTCTCGGAAGTCGGTGCCCGACTTCATGGCTTGCGGCCCCGGAAGTTGGGCTTCAGATCCTTCAGGGTTCGGGTTTCAGAGCCTTAGGCCTCAGGACTCCGTTCAAATTTCTTGACCTGTGGGGTGTTGGATCGTTTTGCGTCGTTGGCCCTTGGGGCTGAGGGTCTTGGGTTTTTGTATTTGAGTTTTTACAGTCAGGGTCCGAGTGTCAAGGAGGCAACTTTCTGTGAAACTTGAGGACCCAATAGACCATTCCTGAAAACCAGGGACCGAGCAAGTACACCGCCAGAAGGATGCCCTACAAGAGGGCGGGGCCAGGCAAGCAGTGATCATTGCATCTCATAGTGAAGGCGTTTTGTTTTCCGTGCTGATCCGACATATTCCACATAGGTACCAAAGCAGATTTTTTGCGCAAGATTGGTTGTTGGGTGCTGGCTTCCACGTTTAGAGGCGCGGATGGGTTTCGGAATTGCAGTGAGGTGCGTGGTTCTGCTTTAGGGCTTCGGCCGCCAAAGTATTGGGTGTCCGGAATCCATGAGCGATCCCAAAGCTTTAGACTGTAGGGTTTTGTTTTACTGGGTTGAGGCATGAATACGGCAATCATTCCCCCAAATGTCCCGAGCTTAGACCTGAAATCTAAAACCCCCGTCCAGAGGCCTTGAAGCCTTAAACCAATGCTGAACACCAACTGCGTTTTACGTTTGAAAGCCCCGCCCTTTTGACCTCGAGCCGCTCAGCCCAGCTTAACCATTCCCCTCCCTAGCAACGAATCTTCCTTAAGAAAACATTGTAAACTGTCATTTTTTCAAGGCCTGGGCCTTGGAGCTGTCTCCAGTTTCCCACGCAATGGAGGACCGCTTGTGTGCTGCAGCTGCGGCTCAGGATTGCGGAGGTTGAAGTTATCCAGTCCCCTTGATGTAGATGTTTCTTGCGTTCTGCGGCAGTTTTTTGTCTTGGGAGTTTGCCGTGGAAGTCGGAATTTAATTTTCCTTCGTTTTCCGGGATGTTCTTTTAGGGAGTCTGGCTCTCAACAGACCATTGCGAGACCTGCGTGCCCAACATGGCGTTGCCTTAGCTTCTGGGGGTTCTGCTCAGGAGATGGTCCTTGCCATCCAGCAGAGAATCGACAGAAGAGAGCTCAGGAGGTTAGGGTTGGGATAAAGGAGGCAGTGACACCGTGCCCGCATATGCGTTCCCGACATGTTTCCTGCATATTCTGAGACACACCCACAAACCTCAGGCATGGAGTTGAAGGTCGTGGTTCCAGCCTCAGACGGTCTGGGCAGCAGCCATTTCCGTGAGCGGCTCAACCCGTAATGCCAAGCCTTGTGCCTCAAACCCTCATCAGATTGAACAGGCGTGTTGCCAGCAGACCCGTGTCAGCATCAGAAAAAACCCCAAAGGGTTCAATCCTATGAAGCCTTCCGAAGCCCTCATCCAATCTCCTGAAGATGTCGGAAGGACAGAATTTTTGTCTGACAGCTACAAACAGGCATGCAGCACGATCACTGCTCAGGAGACCCTTTTTGGCTTCGAGAGCCACCTAGACAGATCACTAGGCGGATTAGGGTTTTGGGGCATCTTTGCGAATCTTCAGATGGGTTCCTCTTTGTCATGTCTTGCCACTGAGCGGGCAATCCCACTGCCGCCAGGCAGCTAAACTACAAAGTAGATCACAGCAAAACCTGCAGTGGTTTTGAGATCCCCGACCCTCCTCCCTGTTTTCTATCAGGCAAGCTATTGTCCAGCAGCGCCCAGCACTTTCTATCACATCCGAAGCTTTAAGTCATGGAATTTCTCAGATGGGTCTAACTGGAGCGGGGATTGCTCTGCTTTATAAAGTGCAAGTCAAAACAAGACATTAGATCACCAGCTGATAATGTCGCACCCTTTTAATCGAGGGGTTCGGATTAAAAAATCAGAATCAGCTATTGTTTGAGGGGTTCGGACCGAAATAAAAATAGCTGATTCTGAATCAAACAAGGCTAGGGTGCAACATTATGCTGCAAAACCTCGCAGTCAACATGTGTCTCCAGCAGAAGCTCACGAGAAACGAGTGATTGTAGGTGTATATATGTATTTACTTGTATGGCTTCATCTTTATCAAAGCCTTGCAAAGGGGCTGCGCAATCCCACAGCTCCCCTGCTGTTCTAAAACCGGCAGGCAATTAGACAACCAAGCACATTACTTGCCAGCAAAAACTCACAAGCAACGCGTGAATCTTGAGATGGCTTCAAATTCGTCAGTGCTTTGCAAAACTGTCAAAAAAAGGAGGCAATTGCATAGCAAAGCTCATTTTTCGCTATCCAGCAAAAGCTCGCCAGCAACGTGTGGATTTTGCGGCCAAGTCCTTGTCTCCAGCGGAAGGGCGCTGCCAATGCTGGAGCGCAAATTGTGCGAAATGGATGAAGACTTGCAGATGCGAGCGGTATCGAGGAATTGCACATGCGAGTTGCATAATTAACGGAGAGACTTCGACGAGCTGCACGCTTGGCGTTTGATAGCATTTGGAGAGGAGAAGAGGAGGAGGAGGTAAAGCCAAAGAATGCTGCACATTGAGCATGATTCGTAAGAGCAGTGGATGTGGAATAGTCGTGGTAGTAAATCTTGAGTTCCGAATCTTAAAACCCGCAACCCCGATACGGTGGTGGACGATGGAGTTTTTTCCTGGATGTGGTTCGGCCCAATTTTCTCGGGGTGGCTCGACTGCTTGTGTGTGTGGGCGCCCTCATCCCTGTGACCGTTTGCACTCTTGACGTCTAGCAGAGATGTTAGGGCGAGAATCGAGAACAGTTCCAGCAAATCCCCCCAAACATTCCCTGCTGGCGTTTTGTGTTCAAAGCAGGAGCTGTACCTTCTTGGACGACGCATTTGCCAATGGGATTCTGCGGTGGGTCGCGTTATCGGTGTGTCCACATTCACCAGTTTCCCATGACCCTACTGGAGATTTGTAGAGTCAGAGCTTGATAAGAAACCGGATGATGGCCAGTGCTCAGGGGCGTAAATTTTGGGATCTCCCCTATGATATTCCTTTGAAGACCTCACTCTGGGTACTCCTCAAATCCTGAGCCCGAGCCTGCCTGAGCCAAAAACCCAACACGCCATGTGGCTGATTTACAGGACATGCAGCAGCTTTGCAGTGCGCATGCGCACGTAGAGCCCTGAGACCCAAACCCCGCAGACTTCCTGTGTCCAGTACCCGGAAGTGCCCTGGAAGGCGTCCTTCTGGGATGGTTCTTAGTCTTCAGGATAGCCCAGATCGTCTGCCGCAGCCTCGCGGGTTTGGCGGTTTTGGGCGGTTTTGGGCGTGTGTTTTACAAAGCTCATGTTGGTGGAGACTCAAGATTTGGGGTCATGGGGTGGCGTAGAGAGATCGATTCAAGCAGCATTTTCAGCGACAGTTGGGATTCGGGGCGAGGAGGTGCATGAGTCAAGGCCTGGGAACTAAACAGGCGCAGCCGGTTTTGATGGATTGTTTTATCTGGAAGGTGTTGGAGAGTTGAAGAACAAAGCTACACAGTCCTCAAATGGTTTACACCTGCAAACAAATCCCAACCAGACCCAAGCCTTGAATTCGAAGGCACCCAAACCTCAAAAGCAGTGAGAGTTTGAGCACATTGCCCTGCCTGGCCAAGGTTTGAAGTCTTTGCACCACATCAAGCGTCGGCGCCTTGCAACCTGTACAATGTACACAATTCCAAAGCCAGTATTTGTGGGTCCTCGTAGGGATGTGCCAAGTACAGTCGACCTCTGAGGCTGAAGCTTCTGGCTTCCGTCACGTGTCTCAATCCAGATCGCACAAATTTGCACAACGTGCAAGAACTGTTTTACTGCATGGCTGAGGGCTGCAAAGATATGCCCGCACAGATGTACCGAATTGATTTCGCCCTTCCTGCCTTATTTAGTGGCAAAGTTCTCCCTTGTGCTTTGTAGGGGATGGGGATAGGACTCGAACTCCTGAAAAAATAATGGTAGGGCCCATCTCCTTCCCTCCTCAGCACCAGGGAGAGCAAGAACAGTGCAGAAGTACCATACCAGCGGATCTTTTGGCATTCGGGCGGAACTAAATAGTCCCAACTGCCTTTGTGCGAATTGCTCTGTGCACACCGGTGCAAGCAGGCTGCGGTCACGAAGGTTCTACCAGCTACATGAACTGCGTTTGCATTGGAGGCTTTGTCAGATGCAACTGGCGTAATAGCAGCAAGTTCAGCATCTTGGGTCACATGCTGAGATGGGATGGTCGTTCCGGGTGAACGTGCTCGTGATTTTTGGGGTGACGGAAGAAGCAGCAGAAGGAGAGATTTTCTAGTAGTAGCAGGAGCAGCAGCACCAAGAGACAGCATTAGCGGAGGAGAAGGATGATGCGGACAGGGAGGTGGGAGGAGGAGAAAGCGGACTGCTACTGGTAGTAGTACTGGACATGTGGTAGTGCTAGCAATTTCTGGGACCTCGGAAGATGTGAGTCAGCTTATGGAGCCTTGAATTGTGCGCGTTCGACATGAAGATGCGATCTCTTGCCTTCCACACCGTGTGCATGAGGGAGGTAACTCGTGCAAGTTGGGTGGCCACGGCGAACAGGGCAGGTAAACAGAAATCTGAATTGCCCGTAACCTTACCCCAGACAGGTTTGCAGACGAACATGATATACTCCACAGCAAGCTTTCATCCTCAGAGCTCAGAGTAGCAGCACGTGCTTTCGACCCCTGCAGTTGTGACCTCCAACGCATCTGCAAGTTTGGAGGGACTTCGCAAGCAGAGCTATCCCCAATTCCAACCATCAACCCTAAACCTCATTAGCCACTTGTGGCCCTTGCCACTTGTGAAGTCCCTGCGAGCTTCCAATTTAATTTAGCACAGCTGCACAGCTTGTTAGATCCCAGCGGCCTCTGAGCGGTCTGCCATGTACATGCCCAGTTCTGTGAAGCTTTCTCATGGAGTGTCTCGAATTAGGGAGCCAGTTTTTCGTAGTTGAAAGCCCGAAAATCCCAGACCCCATCCCCTCAGCCCTGCGACCTTCAAACCCCAAACCCTAATTTGAGACATGCCATATTATGTCACCGCATGCTCCGCTCGAAGCTCAAAGACTCCATCATGCTCTTTGGACTGCACATTCACGAGATGTCGCGCTGCAACTGTGCCCAAATGCCTTTTACTCGAAGATGGTGATAACCCATGAGCTGGGGCTCAGAAGGAAGCTTAGCAGCCCCGAGCATTGAAGCATTGAGGTGTTTGATGCTGCCAAATAAATAGCTTTAAGTCTGGTCTGCCTTGATCCTCCAGGTTTCTCATCAAGCTTGAGGAAGATACACTTTATTTTCCGTCATTGGGGATCCTCAGAATGCTGTAGCGAAAACACAGACTGGCCTGGAGCCAGCCATCAAGTCGGCCTTTGCCTCTAGTCACAGGCTCAAGCACAGCATGGAGCAAGGGGTGAACTGATCTTTATAGTTGTGGCAATAGCCATGCAGATTAGGACTGAACGCTTCTGTCGGAGGATGGCAATTGAAACAAAGGCGAACAACATACTTGCATTCCTTTTCAGCGTTCGCCCAAATGGCTTCTCAAGCAAAAATGTCTCCAGGAATCCTGGCTGCGATTCTCAGTCCCACATTTGCCTTCGAGGTTAATTAATCATTGCGTATAACAGTTTGTCTGGGATGGCTAATCTCTCCTGCAGTGACCGACCTCGTACCGCCAACAGCATTAATCTAGTATTCGTACTAATTACTAGTAATGGCCAAAGGCATAGAAATAATTGAATGGGTCGGCTGGGCTGGGTCGAGTAGGGAGTTTGATCATAGCTGGTTGAATTTCTGATCCATGAATTCTAAAGATTCCGTCCGTGTACACATAAAGCCAAGAACATGAACGCTCCTGGAGCCTCTGAATCTAACTGAGTCGGGCAGCATTTGTACGGCGCAGACCAAAAACGTGGAAGTCGAGAAAGTGCTGGAACAAAGGCATTTTGGACCGTGTTGAGCGTGAGCAAGAAGGCACCCTTGCGCGAACGGGCAGCGTTGCACTTTCAGGATCCGGCAAAAATTGGCAAACTGGTCGTTATTAGATTGGCCGCGAGGAGTTTCAGGATCATGGCGCTGCGAGGAAGCGAATCTCAGCGTGCACATTCGAGAATCTTCTCTTGCTCGAGGCAACCTCGCTCGCTCGAATGCTAGTGACCATCGGTTCCTGCCGAGTGCGAGCAGCACCGTGGAGTTCCAATAGAAGCTGCCTTCAGGCAGATTGCTGTGAGTTGTGAGCTGATGGCAACATTTCATGAATTGCATTTTCATAGGCTAAAAATCACGCATGTGCCGGCCACATGCAAAGGCTGCAGCGCTGCGGTCTCACGAGCAAACCTCAACCCCGGGTGCACGGCTTTGACTACCTCTGAACGTCCTGGCCAACCAAGTGTTGTAGGGTTTCATCATGGCTCCCCAGCCCCACTGCCACTATTTCTATGGCTTTGCATGCTTCTGCATTGCACTGCGGAGCTGTGTCTGTCACCTCTTGAGCCCAGGGAAGGCCTCCCCTGATTGTCGGCAGGCAATGTCCGGCTGCCTACGGCAGCAACCTCTTTGAGAAGCAAGCCTGGTAGGACCAAGCGGCTCACAGAACTCCAAAGCCCTGGCCGGTAGCCTCTGCAGCCTCTGCAGCCTTGGCTTCGCCATTTTGGCGGCATCATGAACGCGTAAAGTAAAGCGGGAAATGCTGTACAGAAGGGGAAAACACAGTGGTTGAAGACCATACACTAATTAATACAGCATGCCACTCACCTCGCGCAGCTGTGGACTTCAAGACCTGGCGCGTTGCGGGGAGGCATGAGTCACTAAGGCTTGCTAGCTCGTCCCAGCACTGCCAGGCGTTGTCTTTTGTCAGTCGCTTGCCCCGGAGCAGCCCAAAATATGGAGAGTATTGCAGTCCTCCACCGCAAGGACTTTTAAAAGCAGTCCATCTCCAGTCCATGGCATAGACTCGCGAAGATGGCGTGGCAAAATCTGCGTATATTTCCAATAGTTCGCCTATAACACCATTGAATGCATGTCCTCCGGAAGCCAACTCTAGCCATAACTCTGCGCACAGAAAATCCGAGAGTGGGATGATGATATTTTGTGTGAGGGAAAGGCTTGAAGAAGACATTGACTGCATGACCTTGCGCTCACTAGGACAACATGTTTGAAATCTTGAGGGCAAAAGCAGATTGCATGTGGGTGAAAAAGACTCTGCTCCAGCGGCTAGCACCGTCACTAGAGGTCTCAGGCTGTGGGCTCGTCAGATATTCCCATTAGGCTGTAAACCAGGCTGCCGTTGGACTTCCCCTTCTCGGACTCTGAGAGCTCTTCCACTTCAGTTCAGAATCGTTCCGCAGCAAGGCCCAGCATGGAGGGCGCTTTTAAGAAAAGCAATCATGGCAGTGCATAGCAAAACCATAGCATTGACCTGATAAGAGGCCGGAAGAGCTGCGAGAGTGAACTCGGTTTGGACTTGTGTTTTGAACTTCGAGAATTGGAGAATCGACGATTCAACTCTCTCCAGCGAGGCTGCTTGGAGAAGTTGGAGCACCTCAGGTTGGAGCCATGACACAAAGCGCATAGCTGGCACAGCATTGCGTAGCGCTGCGTAGCGCTGTTCTCTTTGCAAATGCCAAGAGCCCGTACATGAAGACGAAGCTTCTGATCGCTCTCAGACTGAAGACGGAACACCAAGCTTTCCCCCATCATGGATTCTGACATGGGTCTGATTGGAGGCAACGTCGCAAACACGTGCTCCGCTGCGCTTTGGCGAATGACTGCTGTTGGTAGCCCGAACCTGTCCTTCATCGGCAACAGGAGCTTGGATTCCACCTGAAAGCCAGCGTCCTCTGAAAGCCATGCATGGCCTTGGAACTCTTTCAAGGCTTTCTCATCTAGTGGCCTGTGCGGAAGAATTTTCCGCCCGACACAATATTGTCAAGCTTGTCCGGCGCGTTTTTCTTGGCTTCGAGCCATGCCGCCTGAACAGCGCACAAGGACTTAACGATGTTGGTTCACAGCCCAACTTCGCATGCACCACAAACAACGCCACACGTCGGGCCAGATTCAAGCTGTTCTCCTGCCCCAGTACCATGCGCGAAAGCAACGAGACCTGCTGTTCGAGGGCCCTGGCTGACTTGGCACACTTCTGTCCTTGCTGCTTGCAGTTCCAGTTGTCTACCCATCCTCGTCCAGTCTTGCCCCTGTCGTCCGAATGTTTCACTTTTGTGATGCCCCTTGCCCTTTCCACCCCTGCGTTTGCCCTTCTCGGTTGGCGATTCTCCCGTCACCTGCACCACCACCTATTGCTGTTGGTCCCGAAAGCCCAGCACTCTCGCAAGACCTAAACTGGGATTCCGCCGATCAAAGAAACACTAGTAGCCTAGAACCACGGGAACACTAGTGCCAAGTGAATCACCTGGATGAGAGACTTCTAGCTTCTTTTGCTATTTTGTTGAATTTAGGACGCGCGTATGCAGCAAGGCTTCAAGATGTATAGCATCAAACCGGATTTGTCTTCTCCTGTACAACCCACCTGGTCCGTATAGACACATCCGGCCTCAACGTCATTTGCGTCTTTTCTGTCGGTCACTTGCAGCTGTGGTCCAAGCAATTTGCGTCTGTATTTTGCTGGCCAGAGGGTAGGCGCCCTCAATAGGAGGGCTCGGAGAGCTACATACAAAGGTGACAAAGGTTGGCCAGGGGACGCAAGGGACTCCCCCATACAGCTAACATAACCAGCATAAAGCGGCATGCTCAAGGTGAGCTATCCAGCGGAAGGTCCAACGCCAGCAGCGGCTCCCAGCAAGATGACGACATGTTGGGGAGCAGGACGCCGAGAGTCAAGGTTTCGGGTTTAAGATTTTTTGTGCAAACTTGAGCGGGCAGAATACATGATTGTCCAATGTCTTAACCTTTTCGCTGCACAACCTTCAGTTGTCTATTGTACACATGTTGGATGACCGCAGGCCATGAAGACCAAGAGGCAGATTTGACAATAGATCCTTAAATCTTTAAGCAACGGACGTCCACCGAACCAAAAGTTGTAGTTGTTATGCGGAAAGTACACTCGGCGCTTCTAGCAGCAAGCGCTCCATTCCCTTTTGACTAGTGCAAGGCCAGCTCCATGAGAATTCTGCTCACGAGACACTCATGCAAAGACTGCAGCATGTTCACAAGTCTGTATCCAACAGCAAGGGAACACCAAGCCTTGCTTCAAAGACTCAGCGGCCGGGAAAAAAATGTGATTTGGCTGGGAACAGGTTTAACATCACTCAGCTACAGTTTTGGGGGTTACTGCCGACTACAACGAAGGGACCCAAACACACCTCACGCCTTGTTCTAGTAAACGACGCACTCCCCTACATATCAAATACTCCCCCATGGAGCACGGAGCTCCGTGCAGTCTGCCTAACGAATCCGTTGCATCTGTTTTTTTTGCAGTAGGGGGGCGGACTTGCCGAAAATTATTGGAGAAAACAGGCTTCTACCTGTTTGGGGCTACTGATTTCTTGGCCTGGCTTCTTGGAGTCTACACGCTCCATTTCGCATTACTCTGAACATTACCAAGTCCCACACGTTGAAGTGCAGGACCGTATCAGTCTCCCGGACGGGAAGCGTGAAGTCAAGCATAGACCCAAGCCGTCTTTCTGATGCTGGCAGGAGGACCTGGCAGGGTTTTAGGGTTTACGATTTGAGGTTTGGGGCTGTTGTGGTCATGGTTTTTGCCTTGGCATCTTAGAGTTGGAGTCTCTCGCGCTCAGGGTTTCAGGGTTTGGGCTAAACTGGAGTGTGGGTTTTGCCTCGACAGCTGGTGGGCAAGTCGGCTCCAGGAGGAACACAGTGTCGAGCAAGTTCGTCAAAGCGAAGACCGCCAATCTCTTCGACAGCGCGAATACGTCATCGCATTGCTGCAGGATTCTGGGGAAGTTTTGCTTCATTTTAGAAAGAGCCTGCGCTGGATGATGATTGCTAGAGGGCTTATTTAAGGGCTGCCGCCGCTGCCGCCGACCCCGCAAAGGGGCGGCTGCAGCACAGGGGCAAATTGAGGGGTCCTCCCGGGAGTACTGTGACACATTAGATTTCTGTCAGGTAGGAAGTAAGGCTAGGGGGTCTTCGCCTTTT